TGTTCCTTTATTCACAGTGATTCCTGGATGGATTCACTCTGGTATGTTTTGGCCATCATCATATTGTAGTCCAGTGCCGGTTAAGGTTCACATTGCTTCATATTTTCCATCAAGCTCTGTAATATTCATGGTGATTGTGTGACAGTGATACTGCTGCAGCAAAGAATCCCAGAAGCATGACACTTCTAACTCCATGCTTCACAGCTGGTATGAGAACCCTGACAGGGAGTGCTGTATTGGTTGAAGACAATGATTTTGTTTCTTTCCGAAAAAAAAAAAAAAAAAAAAAGTTTTTGACTCATCTGTCCAAAGACTTTCATTTCAAATATCATTTTTGGAATATAATTATTCAGGCAAACTTTAGTCTGGCCTTTTTACTTAGAGAGCAAAGCTTTACTGCTTGATCATCTCCCATAACAGAAGCTACATTTGTGCAGTCTCTTCTCTTTTAGAGTCAGCCATGTGTTTAATGACAAAAGCAGCAAGATCTTGCTGTAAGTCCTGTGTTGAAATGTTTGTGTTTTCTGAGACACCAAACATTTTACAATCTGTTCCAGGGTGAAATAGTTTGGACAGCCAGACCTTTGACGCGTTGGTTCACTTGACAGTTTTTCATGCAGTAGAATTGCTGATTCCACATTCTTTTGAAGAATGTGAAATTCTTCTTCAGACTCATGAAACATCATGGTGGGATTTCCTTGGGTCCCACCATGATGTTCACTGCCACTTTAATATGAGGAGCACACAAAGGACACGATCAAACCTCCTTCAAGCTCACACACACAACCACACACATATGTAACCTACAGTGTTTATTTTAGTTTAGCATGGCTTTTATTTCTTGAGGTAACACAATCAGTCTCTGCAGCTGCAGTTCAGTTTCAGTTCATTCTGACTGAGGGAGGTTTTTGTATGACTGTTTTTCACTGTGTGAACACCCACTGGCTGTTGGGGTAATGAAGACTCTGGCAGTAATAAACTGCAGCATCTTCAGCCTGAACTCCACTGATGGTCAGAGTGAAGTCAGAGTTTGATCCTCTGGCTGAAAAACGACTTGGAGTCCCTGATGCTCGAGTGTTAACATTATAAATGAGCAGCTTAGGGGTTTGTCCATCTTTCTGTTGGTACCAGGCAAAACGATAACAGGAACAACCACTGGAATAATAAACATCCTGACTGGTTCTACAGTTGATGTTGACAGGTCCTCCCAGATCAGCTCTCACTGCTGCAGGCTGCTGAGTCACTGTGATCTGACCTCTGACCTCTGGGGACACACACACAAAAACATGCAGCAGCTTCATGGTTTAGTCGGCTTCATTTCAGAGGGACAGATGTTCATAGAGGAGAGGAGTTGGGTTCTCTGGACTTTACCTGTGAAGCAGCAGCAGAGGAGAGTCCAGATGAGGACGCAGATCAAAGTCATGTTTCTGATGATGAGGAGGATTTATGTGTCTTCTGCTGTGATGAAGGACAGCTGTCAGTCATCCAGTGTTCAACTGTCAGGACTATAAACTCTCCCAGAGCGCTGGAGCATGGAGTTGCTGATGCAAAGTGGCTCTATGGAAATGCTGTGACTGAGTCCAGGANTTGGAATATAATTATTCAGGCAAACTTTAGTCTGGCCTTTTTACTTAGAGAGCAAAGCTTTACTGCTTGATCATCTCCCATAACAGAAGTTACATTTGTGCAGTCTCTTCTCTTTTAGAGTCAGCCATGTGTTTAATAACAAAAGCAGCAAGATCTTGCTGCAAGTCCTGCGTTGAAATGTTTGTGTTTTCTGAGACACCAAACATTTTACAATCTGTTCCAGGGTGAAATAGTTTGGACAGCCAGACCTTTGACGCGTTGGTTCACTTGACAGTTTTTCATGCAGTAGAATTGCTGATTCCACATTCTTTTGAAGAATGTGAAATTCTTCTTCAGACTCATGAAACATCATGGTGGGATTTCCTTGGGTCCCACCATGATGTTCACTGCCACTTTAATATGAGGAGCACACAAAGGACACGATCAAACCTCCTTCAAGCTCACACACACAACCACACACATATGTAACCTACAGTGTTTATTTTAGTTTAGCATGGCTTTTATTTCTTGAGGTAACACAATCAGTCTCTGCAGCTGCAGTTCAGTTTCAGTTCATTCTGACTGAGGGAGGTTTTTGTATGACTGTTTTTCACTGTGTGAACACCCACTGGCTGTTGGGGTAATGAAGACTCTGGCAGTAATAAACTGCAGCATCTTCAGCCTGAACTCCACTGATGGTCAGAGTGAAGTCAGAGTTTGATCCACTGCCTGAAAAACGACTTGGAGTCCCTGATGCTCGAGTGCTGGTACGATCAATGAGGAGCTTAGGAGTTTGTCCATCTTTCTGTTGGTACCAGGCTAAACGATGGGAGCTGCCAGAAACATAAACATTCTGACTGGTTCTACAGTTGATGTTGACAGATCCTCCAATATCAGCTCTCACTGCTGCAGGCTGAGTCACTGTGTACTGACCTCTGACCTCTGAGGACACAGAGACAAAAACATGCAGCAGCTTCATGGTTTAGTCGGCTTCATTTCAGAGGGACAGATGTTCATAGAGGAGAGGAGTTGGATTCTCTGGACTTTACCTGTGAAGCAGCAGCAGAGGAGAGTCCAGATGAGGACGCAGATCAAAGTCATGTTTCTGATGATGAGGAGGATTTCTGTGTCTTCTGCTGTGATGAAGGACAGCTGTCAGTCATCCAGTGTTCAACTGTCAGGACTATAAACTCTCCCAGAGCGCTGGAGCATGGAGCTGCTGATGCAAAGTGGCTCTATGGAAATGCTCTGACTGAGTCCAGTAGAGACTAATGTGATGGATTTAAGACAAAGCTCCTATTTATTTTTATGTAGCGTTTACATTTTTTTTTAATCATAATGTTCTACTGTAAATTTGTGATCAAAATATATTTATTTTATCAGAGCTGGCGATGGCAACCAGCCCTCCACTACTCTGCAAGGATAAGCAGGTTTAGACATTAGATAGAATTAAAATCTCTCTGTGACATGTTTTCCATGCAGTATCACACAGACAGCTAAAGTTGTGCGGTCTCTTCTATTTTAGAGTCAATCATGTGTTTTCATATGAATATCAGCAATAGCTTCCTGTAAGTGTCGACATGTTTGTGTTTTCTGTTACTTTTTCAAACATTTCCCCATCTGTTTTCAGGGTGAAATTCAGGACAGTCAGATCTTTGGCATGTTGGTTTACTTTTTGACAGTTTTTCATGATTTTATTTTTTATTTTTATTAATTTATTATTTTTATTTATTTTCACTTGACTTCAAACTCTTTCGCAGCCTTTTTAAAACATTTTTCTGACACAAAAGCTGCTACAGTCTTCTTCCTGATGGAATAAAACATTATGTTCACTCACTTTAACAATCATGAGCACACAAAGTTAAATGTCTGATCAAACCTCCAAATTGTTGAACATGGATATTCTGATCATGCAAAGCTGTGTGATTTCATGTGGGATTAAATGTTGGCCATGTCTCGTTCTCGCCAGATGTTTTCATTTCTTTGATGAATTTAACAACAATATGGTAAAAAATGCAAAATACTGTCATAAATCACTGGTTTATGTTTATTTTTTCATTAACATCTGACTAAGCTATTAATGATTAAACAGTTTTCACTTTAGTTTACATGAATTGCATGACTTTTTTCTCCTTGAAAGAACACAATCAGTCTCTGCAGCTGCAGTTCACTTTCTGTTGATACTGACTGAGGGAGGTTTTTGTACGACGGTTTTTCACTGTGTGAACACCCACTGGCTGCTGATGATATGATAACTCTGACAGTAATAAACTCCAGCATCTTCAGCCTGAACTCCACTGATGGTCAGAGTGAAGTCAGAGTTTGATCCACTGCCTGAAAAACGACTTGGAGTCCCTGATGCTTTAGTGCTGGTATAATAAATGAGGAGCTTAGGAGTTTGTCCATCTTTCTGTTGGTACCAGGCTAAACAGTGCTTACTGCTAGAAAAATAAACATTCTGACTGATCCTACAGTTGATGTTGACAGATACTCCAATATCAGCTCTCAGTGCTGCAGGCTGCTGAGTCACTGTGACCTGCCCTTTGACCTCTGAGGACACAGAGACAAAAACATGCAGCAGCTTCATGGTTTAGTCGGCTTCATTTCAGAGGGACAGATGTTCATAGAGGAGAGGAGTTGGGTTCTCTGGACTTTACCTGTGAAGCAGCAGCAGAGGAGAGTCCAGATGAGGACGCAGATCAAAGTCATGTTTCTGATGATGATGAGGATTTCTATGTCTTCTGCTGTGATGAAGGACAGCTGTCAGTCATCCAGTGTTCAACTGTCATGACTATAAACTCTCCCAGAGCGCTGGAGCATGGAGCTGCTGATGCAAAGTGGCTCTATGGAAATGCTCTGAATGAATCCAGTGGAGACTAAGGTCGATGATGGATTAAAGACAAAGCTCATTATTTCTTAAGTGGTTAAAGGTTTTTTTTTGATAATAATGTTCTATACATTTTGCCTGATAGTAAATTTGTGATCAGAATAATTTTATTTTATCAGAACTGGGTCCTGTATGGTCCTACATGGATCGGGTGGTTTAGACGTAGAACAGAATTTGAAGCTCCTAGTGTGACACGTTTTTTTTGTGCATGAACACACAATTAAACATGGTGACTAAGTGTCTACATAAAGTATAGTTTGTAAGGTGGACATTCTTGTCCAGTTAAATATCTGCTTTTTTGGTGAGTCCACATCTCAGATATGATGTAACTAAATAAGAGGACAGTACATCTCTACCTTTAGATTATTTCTGCTGCATTTCAATGCTTTTTTATCACTGTGATGGGACTTATGCTGACAAAACTGGCTTTTATTCTGTAAAGGATTCATTGTGAGTCTCAGTTCATGAAACAACCTCATCTTCTGTAAATCTTTGATGTCTTTTTTTCCTGATATTTAAAGTTCTAGCTTAATACAATTCCTCTCATTGAGCTCTTGGGTGATTTATGTTACAAG